GCCTCCTACTTCTTCCTTTTTTTTTTTTTTTTTTTTCTTTTTGTGAGACAAGGTCTTATTATATAGCCCTGGCTAGCCTAGGCTTGCTATATAAACCAGACTGGCCTTGAACTCAAAGTGATCTGCCTTCCAAGTAGCAGGACTAAAAGTGTGTGTCAGCATGCCCAGTCCTACTTGTTGTTTTGTAAATTGTAGTAAAATTCATAAAACTTACTTTAAATTGTTTTTCTTTTTCTCTGCTATTTTTTTTTTAAATCAGGTGGTATACACATTCAATCTTATTGCTCAAGAGGCAGAGGCAGGCATATCTCTGTGAGTTCACAGTCAGCCAGGTCTATACAGTGAGACCCTGACTCAAATAAAATAAAACATAAAAAGCTTAAAAAAAAAAACTGCTATTGTGCATGTGGTGGTGAGATGCCCAATTTTTTCTTCCACCTTTGCTGGGTCCAGCCTTTCCCATTTTACCGTCTCTTTGATCTTTCTGAGGTGGGTCTTTCTGTTGTCCTCCAACTTGTGATCCGCCTGCGTCAGGCCTCCTGAGTGCTGGGCTGATGTGTACGTGTCAGCATGCCTGCCGCACTGTAAACATGCTTGCTTTTGTGTGTGTGTTGTTTTGTATGTGGACATGGGTGCCTGTAGAGGACACAGGCTGACATCAAGGGTCCTCCTCAACTGCTTTCTGAGACAGTCTCTCACTGAACTTGGAGCTCACCAACTGCCTAGACTGGCTGGCCAACAGCCAGCCCCAAGGGTTCTCCTGTCTGTTTCTGAGACTGCAGGGACACACCATCATGCCTAGCTTTCTGTATAAGTGCTGGGATCTGAACTTATATCCTCATGTTTACATAGCAGGAACTTTACCTGCTGATATCTGCTTATCTAGTAACCACTTTTTTTTTTTTGAGACAGGATTTCTCTGTGTATCAACCCTGGCTGTCCTGGAACTGGCTCTATAGACCTGGAACTCAGAGATCTGTCTGCCTTTGCCTCCTGAGTGCTGGGATTAAAGGAGTGCACCACTACTCCTGGCTCTATTAAGCCACTTTTGAGTGCATAGTCTGGTGGCTTTACACACATCCACAAAATGGTGCAGCCACCCTCACCATCTCTATACTGTGTATTTCCCCAAACTAAAACTCCGCTTCCATTAAACTCTCACTCCTGTCCGCCCCCAGGATGCCACCTGCCATTCTACCTCCTGTGTTCACGGACCTGAGAGCCCTGGGGCCTCCTGGGAATGGCATTAGTGTCTCTGTCTTCTATAGTCTTTGCACTTAACATCATGTCCTCATGGCTCTTCCATGTTAGAGCATGCTAAAAATTAAAAATACTCCCCTTTATAGTAAAATACTATTGCATGCACAGCCCAGGTACTGAAGTCTCTGAAGAGCCTGCACAGACTCTGTATGACCCTGGCCCTTCCCACCATTTACCTGGAGGCATCTGGGGCTTAGCAGAGGTGTGTGGGGTGATAGATGGGGCCTCTAAGGTGACACTGGACTCTGGGGCTGGCAGGTTCACAGGAGCCAGGTGGGAAGTAGTATGGGTGTGGCTGTGCCCAGCTGCTGGTCCCTTCCCCACAGTGACGAGAGGTGGAATGTCTGCTTCATTGATTACGTTGCCCTTCCTGGAAGAGGCCAGCAGGTTTTCCAGTGTCTGAAACAGGGTGTGAGTATGAGTCTGAGAGTAACTTGGGCCTCAGTGCTCCCGGGTCCAGGTAGAATCTCAAAAGCCTGTCCTTGGCCTGCTCACCTTGAGCCCCCGATCATATCGTCGCATCCTGGCACTGTCCCCGGCTTGCCTGGCATTCTCCACTGCAGACTGGTAGAGGGCTAGCCTCTCCTGCAACACGGCCTCTACTCCTGGGTTGGAACCTGAAGGTTTTGGCTACAGGAGGATTGGGGTACAATTTGGGTGGTGACCCTACTTAGGTCACCCTGACCAACCACTCAGCATGAACACATATTTCCCCTGGAACAATCTTCCCCGCTCCCAATGATCACAGTCCAGAGGTTCAGAGGTCTGTCACCTGTGCCAAAGATCACATGAACAAGGGGGAAAGGTGAACCTTGTAACTCCAGGCTGTGTGTGTATGTGTGACTTAGGGAGACATACCTGGGTCACAGGCATCAGGGGCTCCACAGCCTTCTGTTCCTCCCCAAGGACCTCATTTAGCTCTGCCTGCAGAGACACAAGGCCAGGGTAGGAGGTAGAGGCTGCTGGACAGGGCACTGGGGTGACACAGTGCCACATGTCCTGGCCCCGCGCTCACCAGCAGGTCCTCATCAGCCTCCACATCATCCTCGTCCGTCCCCTCGTCATCCTCATCCAGGTCTCTCATGCAGAGCCGGGCCATCTTCTCAATGGCCTCCATTGGCAGGGGACCTGGAGGCAGGAAGAAGCCCCAGCTAAAGCAGGATCCTCCCAGAGCCCCAGCTGCCCACCCCTACACCCGGGGCCCTGGGGACCAACACACAAGCAACAGAGCAACAGATCCCCTTCCCTGACCATTGTGGCACCCCACCATCCGGGAGCGCTTCTAGCCTGATGCCGTTTACCTACCGCCACCAAGCCCAACCTCCAAGCACTCTTCTCTTCCCTATCCAGTCTCATCTATGTTGCCAGGTACCCCGAGTCTAAACCTCAGCTTTGTAATGTTCTCTTTGTATGACCCTGAATAAGTTCATCTCCCTGGGTTTCAGGAGATCGATAACTTAAGGGTAGACGGTGGGAACTAAGGGTGAATTAAATTCCTGGAGCAGCAATGCATACAGTTGCCCCTGCCTCATCCTTTGCCCCCAGGCTTGTGCCCTGGTGCCTCCTTTGAATCCCCACTCTTGTACTTGGGGTATAACCAAGTAAAACAAAGGCTACCGTAAAGCTCATCGTAAAGCTCATCGGATAAGCTAGATGGCGACAAGATAACTATAGCAGGTCTCTTGCGTGGCAGATGCAGCTGCATCCACAACTGACCCTGTCACCTAGACCCTAGACTCTAGGAAGGTGGGGGTGGGGGTGTCTTTTGTTTTCCTCCCCTACTTCCAACCCAGTGCCCAGCTCCAGGTACTGTCTGCAGCAGAAGCTCCAAAAATATTCTCAAGTGTGCTGAGCGTCTCACCTTTGCCTTTGAGTTTCTCTGGGGCCTGGGGCTGGTCCCCCACCAAAGCCAAGAACTCAGCCTCCAGTTCCTCATCGTTTACCCCATCCTCAGGGATCATCAGGCCGTCCGGGGAGAAATCAACCAGCAGGCCGAGCTGTGGGAACAACCATGGTCCAGTTAGACCTTCTATACACCACCCAGCCCAGGTAGCCAGAGAGACCCCATGGTAGGTAGGGACCAAATCTCTAAAAGCAAACTGGCTCTTGCAGAGACTAGGAGACTGAGACACACATACCATGCAACAGTGTTTTGGCCCTTTGACGGCACGCATGGGTCAACCGCGGAGAACCTGCCAGAGTGTGGCTGGCAGGCGCAATCACCAATAGCGCACCAACCCTAACCCTACCATGTGCAAAGCCCTGGGTTCCATCCCCAGCATGGAAAGGAAAAAAAATTTAAAAATGAAAGCCCTGACAACAACATCTACATTGAAACTGGGTCTTTTCTGTAGACCTGCCCTCCTGTTTTTGTGTTTTGGCTAATGACCAATAGAATATGGTGAGTTACATGAAATTACCCTTCCTGTAAGTCCAAATTGGTCAAATACTAGCAATTATGCATGGCTTCACCCTCTGGGATTAATAATTCCACACTATGTTATAGCATTTTTTTTTTTTTTTTGAGACAGGGTTTCTCTGTGTTGTTTTGAAGGCTGTCCTGGAACTCACTCTGTAGACCGGGCTGGCCTCGAACTCACAGAGATCCGCCTGCCTCTGCCTCCTGAGTGCTGGGATTAAAGGCGTGCGCCACCAACGCCCGGCTTGTTCTAGCATTTTTCATCAACAATCTCAGTAAGACTTTGCAAATGTCCTGCCATTTAGGGACTCTTTCAGGCCTCCATTCCACAGGTGAGAAAACGGAGACTGAAATACATCTGTCGTATGTACCAAGGGCAGCAGGGAACCTGTGGTCAGGTAAACTCAGACCTGAGCCTGAGCTAGGCCCTGTGTTCCCTGGTTCAAAGCTGAGACAAATCAAACTCCTGCAGGCTCTGGATCTGGGAGTATGGTGCTGGGCCACAGTCCTGTAGGTTTTCCTGTACACTTCTGGGCTGGCATGTCTGTCTGGCAAGGCTGCTCAATCTTATGACCTTTGTTAGAGGTCTTCGTCTCCCTGAGCCTCAATGTCCTCATCTATACAATGGGAGTAAAGAGTGTGACCTGGCCCAGTTGATGCAAAGGCTTGAAAAGCTGGTCTGGTGGCTGCCTCTTCTGGGCTGGAACTGCTGCAGCAACAGGTGTTACCCAAAACCAGGGTGGGGAGCCAGATGCTGGATGGCCCTGGCCAGTAGGCCCTACAGTCGGGAGCGAGCCTCACCTGGAGAGGCGGGGACTTGGGTTCACTTGTTAGGAGAATCAGGCTTTTTCTGGGGGTGGGGCACGCCCCGCGAGTGTGAAGAAGGGTGGGGACAGACCCTGAGGAAGGGTGGGAAGAGACCCCTAGGTGGGCAGAGTGGCGCGCACTCACCTGGCGGGCGGTGACAGCGCCTCGGCCTGGGGGCGCCGGGGGTCCATTCCTCTTGTGCATCTTCCAGGATCGAAGTCCGGACTATCAGCCCTGGTACCTTAGTCTTACTCTGCCTCTTCCCCGAACCCGGCTCTCTGTGCTTGCCGTGCTCCAGAGCCCTGAGTCCCTCCTCCGTACCCGGCCCCCGGAATTCTCCAGTTTCGGCCACCCTGCTTCCGCCTTGGCCTTCGGGAGCGCGGCCACAGGATTCGCGGATCTCTGCCAACTAAACTACATTTCCCGGCAGCCAGTGCGTGAATTCGCATGCGCTTGACACGAGGCGGCGCACGGCGCGGATACTGCGCTGCGTGGGGCGGGGCCTCGCGGGCGGGAAAGAGGTGGGGGCGCCGCAGGTGTGAGGGCGCGGCGGCGTGACAGCTAAGAGAGCCGTGGCTCCTCACGCCGCGCCCTGTTCTGCCTAGCCTTGTGGAGGTGTGGGGTGTTACTGCTGCCGGTCCCGTGACTGCCGCTGTGGTCATTTACTCAAAACATCACGCAGGTAGTTCAGGCGATTTTTTTCCCCATCGGATCCCAGCCGACCTCGTCCCTCCAAAGCGACTTCCATCTCTGCTGCGGCCCAGGTTGGTTCTGGCTTGCCTGGGTCCCACGGCCCGAAGACACTGGCCAGAAGCGACTTCTGCCCCGGTGGCTAAAGCCCTCTGTGGCTTTGGTGCGTCTCCAGTGGCCTCTCAAAAGCCGCCAAGTGCCCCACATCCCATATACACGAGCTTTGGCGGGCGCCATGGGGGTGGGGTGAAGCTTAGTTGTCTCCAACTAAGAGACTAGAGTAAGGGTCCTGAGGAGGACAGAAGACAGTCCCTCACACGGAAAAGGGGTGTGAATTCCTACCCGGCCGTGGTTCAAGGTGGCTGTGATCTGGCGTCCCACCACGGTCCTCCTGGAGTCCAGCTGACTCCCCCCAGGCTGCCCCGTGGGCCCAGTGGAGAGGGAAGCTTGGGCACAGATAGTGCTGGCAATAGCTGGAGGGTTTGTTTGTTGTTTTCAGATTTCTCAGGGAAAAATAAAATGAATAAGAAGAAGAAGCAGCGGAACTCAGGTATTTGGTTTATTAAAATTAGCTTTTTATTTATTATTATTATTGTCTTGTTTTTTTGGCACAGGGTTTCTTTGTGTAGCCCCCTGGCTGGCCTAATGTCCACAGAGATCCGCCTGCCTCTGCCTCCGAGTGCTGGGATTAAAGGCGTGCGCCACCAACGCCCGGCTTCAAATTGGCTTTTTAATATCCACTTATTTATTTGAGGTACTGGGCCTGGAACACAGGGTCTTCTGCATGATAAGTTCTCTACCATGGAACTACATCTCCGTCCCAAGTTCACCATTTTTGTTTTGGATGTGTGTTTTGAGCCGGGAGGGGATTCTTGCCATGCATGCTGACTAGTTTTATGTCAGTTGGACGAAAGCAAGAGTCACTTGGGAAAAGGGACTCTCAACTGAGAAAGGTTTGCTTGTGAGTTATGTCTGTAGTAGTTGATTGATGATGGCTGTGGGTGGGCCCAGCTCTCTGGGGGCATGCTACCTGGGGCAAGTCCTGAGTTACATAAGAAGGCCCCAGGCAGCTTTCCTCCATAGCCAGTGCTTCAGTCCCTGCAGCCAGGGTCCTGCCAACTCCCTTTTTTAAAAAAAATAAATTTTTATTTAAATTAAAAACAATCTTATTTTACATACCAATCCCAGTTCTCTCTCCCTCCCATGTCCCCCACCCCAACCTCCCATCCACCCCACCACCCCCATCCACTCTCCAGGGAGGGTGAGGCCTCCCACCCTGACTCCCTTTGATTATGGGCTCTGAAGTAAAAGTGTAAGTGAGATAAACCCTTTCTTCCTCGACTTTGCTTTTGGTCATAATGTTTTATCACAGTGATAGAAGTCCTGACTGGTGCATCATGTAGCCCAGGCTGGCCTTGAACTTGAATCTTGCTGCCTCAGCTTTCCAAATGCTGAGATGATAGGCCTGTGGACCAAGCTCAGGTGTTGTGATGTTGTATAGACAGGGTCTCACTGTGAGGTCGCAAAGGAGACTCAGTAAAATGCTTGCCAAACAAACATGAGGACTTGAGCTAGTCTCCAGACTCACCCTTAAAAAAGCCAGAGGCATGGTGACCCATGCTTGTAATCCCAGTGACTTGCTGGCCAACCAGTCTAGCCAGGCAAGTTCCATGTCAGTGAGAGACCTTCATAAAACAAGGTGGAAGCTGAGGGTATGGCTCAGGGATTAAAGAGCTTGCTGTGCGAGCAAGAGGACCTGGGTGTGAATTCCCAGCACTCACATAAAAGCTGGACTTAATGGTGCATATCTCTAACCCCAGCACGAGAGGGGAAGTGGACAGTCCAGGCACAATAGGGAACTCTAGGTTCAGTGAGAGATAGTACTGAAAAAAAAAATATATAGGGCTGGAGAGATGGCTTAGAAGTTAATATCACTGGCTGCTTTTCCAGAGGACCCAAGTTCAATTCCCGGCACCCACATGGAAGCTCACAGACAACTGTGTGTAACTCCAGTTCCACACCCTCTTTTAGCCTCCAAGAGCATGTGTGTGGTGCATAGACATACATGCAGACAAAATACCCAAATAAGCAAAATTTTAAAATGTTAGAAGACACAGATAAAGGAAGACACCTAGTATTGACATTTGACCTCCTCATGCTCACTTACACTCAGGCAAGAACACTGGCATACACATGCAGGTGAACACATACACACACACACCAAAGTGAAAGGCTCTTGAAGAATGACAAGTGGCATTGTGATCTGGCCTATACACCTGTACTCTCTCTCTCCCACACACTATCTGGTTAAGTCTGGCCCTGACCTCTGGGCTCAGGTGACTCTCCTACCTTAGCTTCCCAAGTAGCTGGGACCACCCACCCAGCTCTCTGTAGCACTTAATTTTTGCTTTTCACCAGAATGCTAATATGATAGCCTTAAACTAAAAGATAGCAAAATTTCAGTACAGGCTAGTAATAATACAAATTATGGAGGATTTATAGGAATTGAGGGATGGTTTAGTTGATCAAGTACTTGCCTTGTAATCATGAAGACATGATTTCAGTCCCCACAGCCTATGTAAAAGCTAGGTGTTGTGACACATGCTTTTAATACAGTATTGGCATGGAGGAGCAGAGATGGGTTGAGTCCTGGAGCTTGTAGGCCAGCCAGTCAACCCTACTTAGCAAGTTCCAGGTAAGTGGGAGACGCTGCGTGTAAAACAAGTGGACACAACCTGTCTTGGTTACTGTTCTGTTGTGAGGAGACACCATGACCAAAGCAACTTGTAACACATTTAATGGGGGCTTGCTTACATTTTCTTTTTCTTTTTCTTTCCCAAGGGTTTCTCTGTATTGTTTTGCAGTCTGTCCTGGCACTCACTCTGCAGATCAGGCTGGCCTTAAACTCACAGCTGCCACCGCCACCACCACCACCACCACCACCACCACCACCACCCAGCTGCTTACAGTTTCTAAGGGTGAATTCTTGACCATCAGGGCAGGGCACACAGCAGGCAGGCATGTCACTGATTGCAGCAGAAGCTGAGAGCTTACATCTTCCACATGCAGCGGACCCAGGGAAGATGGCAGGGAGCAGAAGAGGAAGAGAGACAGACAGACTGAGACTAGACCTGGTGTAGACTTTTGAAACCTCCAACAAGGTCACAGCTAATTTTTCTCAAAACAGTTCTGTCACCTAACCAGGGGGGGTGCATGCCTTTAAGGCAGAGGCAGGTGGAGCTCTTGAGTCTGAGGCCAGCCAGGGCTTTACACAGAAAAACCTGTTTCAAAAAACTTAGAAAAGAAGAAAAAACCCAAACTTTTCATTTTGAAATAATTTGAGGCTTACTGATAAATCTCAGAAATGGTGTGAGGAATCCTATCTTTTCTTCTCCAACTTCTAGCATTAATATCTAACAGAATCAAAGGACATTGAGTAAACTGTTAAGAACAGGAAACTGCCGTGTACAGCCAGACTCCCTCAGGACTCCCACTCTACCAGAATCACAATATAACACCTACCAGCAGACTCAATCCCTAGATGACTGAGAATGCCAAGCAGAATGCAAGTGATATGTAAATCATTATATTGTGTTGTTTAGGGAGGTGGCCAGGAAATATCTTTACATGGTTAATATAGGTGCAGTTTTTCTCCATCCATGGTGTAAACCTGTAAATGAGAAACCTATAGCTACAGAAAACTGTCTGCACACAAATACTGGTTCTCTCTCTCTCTCTCTCTCTCTCTCTCTCTCTCTCTCTCTCTCTCTCTCTCTCTCTGTGATATGTGATATCTTAGTGGTTATGTGCAGGTATGTATGTATGTTGAGGTCAGATGTCAGTATCAAGTGTCTTCCTTAATAGCTCTCCACTTTATTTTTGAGACAGGGTTGCTCACTGAACTTTAAGTTCATCAATTCAGTAAGGCTGTTTTCATCCCCCCTCCAAGTAATGGGGTTATAGGCAGATATGTGATTAGCTTGGCTTTGACATGGGTACTAGGATCCAAACTCAATCCTGTCTTCATGACAGCCATCTCCCTACACCCTGTGTTTGTACTGAATACAACCACCACACACCACACATGCCAACTTATCGATTCTGTTTTTGAGTTCTGGGCTCTGTTTGTTGATAGACCATGTAAAATTTCCTCACTTGAGCCCAGGAGTATAGCTGAGTGCTAGAACATTTGTCTGGTATGTGTAAGTAAGGCCCTGGTATCAAATAAGAAAAAAATTCTCTACTTAAAAATAATAGGCGGGCAGTGGTAGCACATGCCTTTCTTTAATCCCAGCACTTGGGAGGAGAGGCAGGCAGATCTCTGAGTTTGAGGCCAGCCTGGTCTGCAGTAGAGCTAGTTCCAGGATAACTAGGGCTACACAGAGAAAGCCTGTCTTGAAGAAAACAAGAAACAAACAAAAAGAAAATAATATAATAAATCCAGGTCAGTTGGTAGAGTGCTTGCCTAATATTATGTGAAGCTCTGTGTTCTATCTGCAGTGCCATATAAACCAGGATAGGTAGTAGACAGCTGTAATCCCAGCACTAGGGAAGTAGAGGGAGGAGGATCAGAGGTTCAAGATTGTCCTAGGCTACATTGTGAGTTTGAGGCCAGCTTAATTACATGAGGCCCTGTCACTGCTGCCCACCCTCCCCCTCAAAAAGGAAAATAAAGATGCCTAATTAAAAAACAAAATAAGCACATGCCACATGAGGGAAATGATCCCTGGGTGCTAGGAACCCAGCCAATGCCCTCTGGAAAAGTAAAGTGCTCTAGCCCCTTACCCAGTGCTTTCTCTGGATGGGTGGTGTCTTAATGTTTCTGTGCTGTGGAGAGACACCATGACCAAGGCAACTCTTAGAAAGGAAACATTTAGTTGAAGCTAGCTTATAGTTCAGAGGTTTAGTCTGTTACCATCGGTGGGAAGCATGGTGGTGTGCAGGCAGACATGGTGCTGGAGAGGTAGCTGAGAGTTCTCCATCTAGACCCACAGGCTGCAGGAAATGAAAGTGAGTCACTAGGCCTGGCTTGAGCTTCTGAAACCTGAAAGCCCACTCCCAGTGACACACTTCCTCCAATAAGGCCACACCTCCTAACAGTGCCACTCCCTATTCAAACCACTACATTGTCTGCTTTTTTATTGTTAGGTAGTCCAGTCTGGATGAGAACTGTGCCCTGCCTCAAGTTCTCAATGTTAGAATTATAGGCCTGTGTGGCCACAGTGACCTTAAAGCATCCAGTTACTAAGGTGTCTGAAACTCAGAGGCATTTTCTTTCCTTGGGGAGGATGAACTTTTATTTCTGAGACAAGGTCTTACCGTGTAGCTTGTTGGTACTTGATATGTAGGCTGACCTTTGCTTCCCAAGTGCTGGGATTAAAAGTGCGTCAGCACACCTGGACAGGAGGGATAAATTTAAAGATTGGTGTACATTTTCTTCTCAGATGTGAGACAATAGCTCATACCTGTTTTGTGCAGAGTGTGCAGGCCACTTGGAGGCATAAGGATTGCCCTGACCTTTGAGGAGAAAACTGAGGACAGCTGGGCCACCGTGGCAGGTCACCCACCTCTCATGGTCTCGAGCTGCAGAGCCCTATGGGCCTTTCTCTGTCCACGGATTCAGGAGAGAAGTAGGAAGGCTGTGTCTAGTGGTGAAAACAGGCCCTTCACTTCTTGCATCTCCAAGTTTTGGTGTGGAACATAAGGTTCTGCCTTAGTTGGTTTGAATTAGTCCTGTGGGACTGATCATAGGAAGTACTGATCATGGCTGTTGATGTTTCTGCCTTTTATTTTGGTACAAATGTCCACTGAGTCAGCCAAGCAAGCTGCTATTTGGGATCAATCTCAGGCAACCAACCAACCAAAGTTATTTATTTATTTTTGCCTTTTGTGGCAGAGTGAGAGGTGAGAACATAAGAAACATCCTTGGAATTCCTGGGTCCACAGTGCCAGCTGGAGCAGGCACCTGTGAGAGGAGGGTTTGGGCAGCAGTCTGAGCAGAGGATGGAACACACCCAGTAGTACTGGACACCTGCGGGATCATAGTGATCACACTGCTCAGCAAATGTACAGCAGCAGAGCAAAAGGACTGGAGAGATGCAGCAGGCATGGCTTAGCAGTAGAATAGTTGCCTGACATGCCTAAGGTCCTCAGGCCCATCCTAGTCCTGCTGTATGTGTGTGTATTCATGTGTGTGCACTTGTGTGTGCCTGTGTGTATGAGGCGCCAGGTGTCTTCCTCAGTCGCTGTCCACTTTATCCCAGCAAGCCCCCGGGATTTGCCTTTCTCCAACCCTCCAAGGCTGGGGCACAGACAGATGCCACATTCATGGCTCTTATATGACAGTGTGGATCTATACTCAGGTGCTCAATCTTTTAAATACCTGAGCTGAGCCTGGCGAGCATCTGACTGAATTCCAGGAAGACAGTATTCAGTTTTGTCTTTTCTATTTTATTCTACTTGTCTGGGAAGAAGCCCAGTATACAGTATATAGTGCACTATAAATATACAAAGGACTCTTGTAACAGGCTTTCTTTGGGGCCACCAACTAGCTCCCAAATCATGACACAGAAAGTTATGAATGTTTGGCCTTATCTTAGCTCTTGTTTTAATCTGTTTCTCTTTAGCAACATTTTGCCTCAGGTCTTTGATTCAGTGTATCTTACTTTCCTATTTCTTCCTTGTCTGCTGGTTGGTGGCTGCTTGGCTTCTGGCCCCAGGCATCTCCCTCTCTTTCTCCCTTGTTGTCTCTTCTCTCTCCTTCCTAGAGCCTAGATTTCTCTTCCTACTTATTCTCTCTGCCCACCAGCCCCACCTGTTCCTCTCCTGCCTAGCTGTTGGCCTTTTAAGTATGGTTTTTATTAGACCAATCAGGTGCCTTAGGCAGGCAAGGGTCTTTCCATAATTAAACAAATGCGGGCATAAACAAATGTAACACACCTTCACATAGTTAAAGTAATATTCCACAGCAGCCTCTTGAATGTGCAGGCTCTGGAGTTGGACCCAATCTCGTTCTGGTTACTTGGTTTTCTAACCTGGAAAATGGCATCACAGGTCAGATGTGTGACAATCCCCAAATTGAGGAAACTGAAGCAAGAAGAGTACCAGTTCAAGGACAGCCTGGGTATACAGCCAGACCATGTCTCAGGATTGGCATCACAGAAGATTAACCTCGAAGTCTACTTTGTAAGGGTGAGGCAGGAGGACCTCTCCTTAAAGGGAGGAAAGAAAATAATCATAAGCAGTTTTAGGCTGCCAAGGGCAAGTAAAGGACATTCCCCTTTACCCTGAGTGACAGAAGGGCATGCCAGTGCCTAAAGGACCAAGGGGCCTCCTTTGCCTGTGGCCCCACTGTTTGCAAGACATGTTCTTCAGGTGTCTAGAGCAGCTTGTGTACTCCAGGGTGTCACTGTCTATGCCTGATGAAGGTTTGTTCTAGGAGCTTGGTTTTGTTTTTGAAACAGGGTCTCATGTAATCCAGGCTGGTCTCAAACTCTTTTTTTTTTTGGTTTTTCGAGACAGGGTTTCTCTGTGGCTTTGGAGGCTGTCCTGGAATCGGCTCTGTAGACCAGGCTGGCCTCGAACTCACAGAGATCCACCTGCCTCTGCCTCCCGAGTGCTGGGATTAAAGGCGAGCGCCACCAATGCCCGGCCTGGTCTCAAACTCTTAATCCTACCTTAGCCTCACAAGTGCTAGAACTAAAGGCATGCACCGCTACACCTGGCTTCTGTGTGTGCTTAGTTATCACTTTAGAACCTGAACACCAGCGCTGTCCTGTACACTCCTCTAGTAAAACAGAGGAGGGAAGAAGGGCAAGCTCCGCTCACGTGTAGCTCAGTCGTGGAGATGGATGACCTGATGCCCCAGAGGCTAGCAGAAACGCTGTCCACTTTATCATGGAAAAAGGGAAGCCATGGTAAGAAGGGGAGGCTCCAGCCAGGCGTTGGTGGCGCACACCTTTAATCCCAGAACTCGGCAGGCAAAGGCATGCGATCTCTGTGAGTTTGAGGTCAGCCTAGTCTACAGAGCGAGTTCCAGGACAGGCTCCAAAACAACACAGAGAAACCCTGTCTCGAAAAAAAGAAGGGGAAACTCACAGGGACCTCAGACCTCAGACATTTGTCTCCACCATTTGAACTGAGACTTGTCACACTTCTCCCAGGGGAGAGAGGGTCTGGTCACACTTGTCCCATCTGGTTTATAGTCACACTGCTTCAAGATTAGTCTCAGGAGCTCTTCCAGAGGACCTGGGTTCGATTCCCATCTCCCACATGGGGCTCACAGCTGTCTGTAAATACAGTTCCAGAGGATCTGATGCCTCCTTTGGCCCCTGCAGATGCCATACATGAACATGGAACACAGACATACAGGCAGATGAAATACCCATATACATAAAACAAAAATTTAAAAATAAGCCGGGCATTGGTGGTGCACGCCTTTAATCCCAGCACTTGGGAGGCAGAGGCAGGCGGATATCTGTGAGTTCGAGGCCAGCCTGGTCTACAAGAGCTAGTTCCAGGACAGCCTCCAAAGCCACAGAGAAACCCTGTCTCGAAAAACCAAAAAAAAAAAAAAAATTTAAAAATAATACAGATAAAAATTTTATCTCAGTCATGGCTAAATTATAGATTAAAGCTGAGGTGATAGCACACCTGTGAGGTTAAACACTTGTAATGCCAGCACAGGGAAGGCAGAGACAATGTTCCCTGGACCAGCCTAGCCTACTTGATGTGTCCCTGTCTCAAACAGCACGTTGAGCGACTGGGAAATCACACCACATGTTCACCACTGGCACAAATAGGTGCACTTACAAGTGGACACACAAAGCCCTTGAATCAGTCTCCAAGATGCAGACCACCCATCATTCAGCATTTTGGAAGTTGGGGTAGCAGGATGGAGAGTTCTTGGTCAGCCTGGGCTACAAATAAGATCCTGTCTCACCAGAAAAGACAAAGAATCTAATTGTTCAGCCACATGAAGGAAGGGGTCCTGGATCTTGAGTGGGACTCGCTTCCATCTCCCCATTACCAGGTTGGCACTAGAACTGGCCTTCCTGCCCACAACACGGACCTACTCACCTAAGTCTAGCTGTGGCCCTCCTGTGCTAAGCTGACAGCCATGCTATTCCTGACCCACATCCCTGCCCCTCACTTCCCTCTCCAAACCAGGGGGTGACCTCCCTCTCTCAAAGCCTCCCAAGAACCCACGGCTGAAGGACCCCCATGGAAGCCCCGAGAGCTCTGTGCTGTCACAGTCACGCCACTCCAGAGAGTCAGAAGACAGCTCTGAATCTGCTGCCTCTGTAGAGCCAGGTGGGGAGGAACCACAACCCACAGCTTCCAGGTAGGTGGCTCAGAACTTTCCAGCAGGCATCTGCTTCAGTCATTCACAGCAAGCCCATGGGAGAGACAAAAAGGAGTGGACCAGGACGACCTGCCACCACTGCAACCCCTGTGGGGCTTGGGCCCAGTTCTTGCTTCTTGTAGTTCTGTTCACCTAGGAGAATGGTCACACTTAACTCTGGTACAATCTCAATCTCAGCCACACTACAGGTTGAAGCACAAAGAACCCATGTAAAAGTCTCAGCATGATGGTGCATGCATAATCCCAGTGCTGGGGAGGTAGGACAGATAGATCCCTGGGGCTCACTATCCAGCCAATGTAACCTAATTGGTGAGTTTCAGGCCAATGAGCGACTCTGGCTCAAAGTGCCCTGAGGATGACACCTGAGGTTGTCTTCTGGGTGCATGCATGTACATGTACACACATACATAAGAAAAACAGGCCAGTCACAGTGACAATGTCTTTAATACCAGCATATGGGAGTCAGAGGCAGGTAGATTTCTGTTAGTTTGAAGTCAGCTGGGTTATATATTGAGACCCTATCTCCAAAAGAAAGGGAGGGAGGGAGGGAGGGAGGGAGGGAGGGAGGGAGGGAGGGAGGGAGGGAGGGAGGGAGGGAGGGAGGGAGGGAGGGAGAAAGAAAGTAGAATTAGGAGGAGCAAAATGACTGTCTGTCTGTCTGGTTTCAGGTCACAGTATTCTTGCTAACAGTGGCACCATGAAGCCACTCATGTTGGCTCTGCAGACTTGTCATGTGAGCCACATCCTAACCTTCCTCCCAGAAGTCCAGCAATTTCACCCTCAGCAGGGATGTACTGCTGTGAGGCTCTCCAGTCTATAGACTGGGGCCTGGGGGACAGTCAACCCCTCTTGAGCTATTTCCTTAAATGGTCACTGAGCAATAGCACCTATGGGACTGGAGAGATGGCTCAGAGGTTAAGAGCACTAGAGTTCAGTTCCCAGCAACCATGTGGTGGCTCACAACCATCCGTAGTGAGATCTAATGCCCTCTTCTGGCATAACATTGTACATCAGATAGAGCATTTACATACATAAAATCTCTCTTTTAAAAAAATAGCACATATACAGAGAAAGACAGAGAAAAGAAAACCAATATAAAAGAAAATGTGAAGAAAAATCTTGCTGGTGTTCCAGAAGCCACACAAATAGCCTCAGTGTAAAACTTGTAATTTACTCTGCAGTGCTGGAATGGAACCCAGCCCTCAGCATGTCAGCACTCTACTGAGATACCCATATCCTAACATTTTTAAAAATGTCTGAGACACTGTCTTACTGGGCAGCCCTGGCTGCCCTGAAACTTGCTCTGTACACTAGCCTGGCTTTGAACTCACAGAGATCTGCCTGCCTGTGCCTTCTGAGTGCTGGGGTTACAGGTGTGCACCACCATGCCTGGTTAGGATTTTCTTTTTCCTCATGCCTCTTTCCCTTGTTTCTTTTTTGGTGTGTGTGAATAGGGGCTGACTTGCAGCTTATCATCTGTGTGGATATCAAAGAAGGTCTGGGACAACCTGTGGTGTCAGTCCTGACTTTCCACGTTTGAGACAAGATGTCTGTTGCTCTGTTACGGACAGGCCTGCTGCTCACAGCTTTCAGGCTTCTCTCTGGTGCCTCCTGGGGTTCTGGGATTACAGCTCTTGTACCACTCCTTTGGCTTTTATATAGGCCTGCTTGTGTGGCAAGGGCTTCTGCCCATGGAGCTATCTTCCCACATTCCTATTTTATTGCTAAGTAATACTGCACACTGTATATGCTTCTTTGTAAATCTCACCCTTTCAAAGCAAACAATCTGCGCCTGGAGCCTAGTGATGAAGCAATTGCCTAGCAGGTACCAGGCCCTGGGTTCCATCCTCATCTCTGTGAGGGGGAAATGGAATTGATATATATTTTAAACCCTAGAAAGGGATCTCCAGGCCCTCCCTGGAAGATTCAGAATTACTCTTCATTTAGGTTCTCATCTCCCTTTTCCTTGAGGAAGAAAGTGTGTCCATGCATATGTGTGTGTGCATTCATGCATGTGTGTATGTGCATTCGCATGTATGTGCATGTGTGTGGGTGTGTGTATGTGTGCATGAGCATGTGTTAGGGATACAATGCATAGCCTCACATACTAGGCTCCATTGCTGGAGCTGCACCTCTGATCTCCCTTTGTCTTGGTTTGTAAGTGACATCTGGAAGGACTTCAAGTCTCTGTTTTGCTTCTCCCCAACCAGCTGCCCTGTGGAGGACACAAGAGCTGTCTCTGACCTCCCAGGGTCACCAGAAGAGCTAGTCCCCCTGCCTCCTTCCCAGGTGAGCATCCTGTTACAGTAAGGTCTATGTCCTGTTCATGGCCAACAGCTCTTCACTGCCCACAGGGATGCAGGGACATAAGACAACTGTTGTGTGTGAGACTACAAGAAAGAAAATCAAAGCAAGGCATGGTAGTACACACCTTTAATTATAGAATTTGGGAAACAGAGGCAGGTGAATCCCTGAGTCCAAGGCTAGCCTGGACTACACAGTCAGTTCTAGACTAGCCTGAGCTACAAGAGTAAAATCTTGTCTCCAGAAACATTGGGGGAGGGTTTGGGATATAGGGTAAGAGGAGGAAAAGTTGGGGAGTTAGCTTAGTTGATAGAATACTTGCCCTAGCATGCATGAAAACCTGGGTTTTGCCGGGCGTTGGTGGCGCACACCTTTAATCCCAGCACTCGGGAGGCAGAGGCAGGCGGATCTCTGTGAGTTTGAGGCCAGGCTGCACCGACAGCCTCCAAAACAATATAGAGAAACCCTGTCTCGTAAAACCAAAAAAGAAAGAAAGAAAGAAAGAAAAAAGAAAACCTGGGTTTTATCCCCAAGGCTACATAAACCAGGCACTCCAGAGGAGAGGACAGGAGTACCAGGAATTCAAGGTCAACCTCAGCTATATATATCAAGATCAAGGCCAGCCTAAGTTATTTTTTTATTTTATTTTTGGTTTTTTGAAACAGGGTTTCTCTGTATTGTTTTGGAAGCTGTGTTGGAACTTGCTCTGTAGACCAGGCTGGCCTCGAACTTACAAAGATCCACCTGCCTCTGCCTCCCGAGTGCTGGGATTAAAGGCGTGCACCACCAATGCTCGGTTTAGGCTGGCCTAAATTATATGAAATCTCATCTCAAAAACCAAACTTCCAGGGGGAGGGACTTAAAATAAGGGGGAACTGGACATGGTGACACACAGCTTTAGTCCCAGCTCTCAGGAAGCAGAGATAGGCCTGGTCTGCATAGTGAGCTCCAGGATAGCCAGGACTGCATAGAGAGCTTGTCTCAAAAAAAAAAAAAAAAAAAAAGAAAGAAAGAAGGAGGAGGTTGAGGAAAACAAGTAAATAGTAAGAACTAGTCTGTAACTGTGAGGTCGAGTGCTTCCTAGTGTGCAGGGAAGTTCAATCCTGAGTACTGAAAAAGAAAAAGAAGGGATGTGTTGGGCTGCTACTTCTAGAGCCCATTCTTCCATGCTGCTACTGTTCTTGTGTCCCTTTTACAGAACTCAGCCAGGAGGTTTGTCCCCCAGTTTGTCAAGTCTAAGAAGACAATAACCAGAAAAGCCAAGGCATGGAAAGACGTTCCAGAGAGCTGCATTGGAAGCCAAGTAAGAGCCTCCTTCCCTTAGTTGGCTGCTCCTGCTGTTAACCTTGGTCTTCCTTGACTCTGCATTGGCTGGTGCTCTGCCTCTGCCCCCAACTGCTAGTACAGTACACTCCAGGTTCCCAGTATGCACTGCGTGCTGAGCAGCCCATCTGAGACCACCGTGTGGACCATGACTTGCAGCTTGCATGGAAATAGTCAAATTCAGAAAGGTAGTATACTTTTCCTGAGAGCTTCCTCTGCTCCTTGAGGGCTTCTGTGCAAGTCAGGAGCATTATAAAAATGTGGGGGTGGAGAGATGGCTCAGCAGTTAGAAGCACTAGGTGCTCTTCCAGAGGACTCAGAGCTGGAGTTGCAGGCAGTTATGAGCCCCCTGAAATGGGTGCTGGGATTCAAACTCAGGTCCTCTACAAGAATACTATACACTCTTAAATGCTTGCCATCACGAATCTTGGGGTTGACAATGTTGCTTTTGACACATGCCCCTGGAGGAGAGTACATCATGGCCTTTGCAGCAGCAGTGTTTGTAATAGTCCCTAACTGGGAATACTCCAAGTAACCTTCAGTGGATGAATGTTAGGGTTGGGGCATGGCTCATTGACAGAGCTTGAGTAGGCAGTACAGGACCCTGGGATCTGTCTCAGCACACAAATGTACATAGATTAATGGGGCTGGGGATGTTTGGTACAGCGCTTGCTCGGCATGCACAAAGTCCCCAGCTCTTGGGAGGTAGGTGGGAATGGGGGTCCAGAAGTTCAAGGCTATCCTGAGCTGTGTATCAGCTTTTGCCATCAGGTTGGGTTTCATGAGAATTAGTCTTGTGGGTGTGGGAAATTGGAGGGTTGGGATTGTAGAGTTAAGGCAGAGAGTTGTTTGGCAGGTGTTAAAGGCAAAGTGGATAAAGTGTGGGAGAGATGGAATGCAACTGTTTATTCTTTTATTTTTTTTCTTTTTCTTTTTCTAGACAGGGTTTCTCTATATAGCCCTGGCTGCCCTGGAATTGTAGACCACTTTGGCCTCAAACTCAGAGATCCACTTGCCTCTGCCATCTGAGTACTGGGATTAAAAGCATGCACCACCCCCAACCTGTGAGAGTGACCACTTATATAGTAGTGATTGGTTAGCACGTCAGCACTGATTGGACAGTGACAGTTCACACCACCAGGGTCTCCATGGAAGAAGCACATCAAAGGAGACACAGAGAGTGCAGACTGTCCTCAGGCCAGCTATGACTACTCACGCTACTCAGCATTCAGTGTTCTGACTTCAGGAGTATGGTGGGCCATACTATTTAAAAGTGTAGTGTGCCTGCCAGGTCATGCCTGCACTTTCTCCTACACCCCCCCATATCAGATACATACACTGTATACAAATATATATATATATATACATGTATATATGTATACATCCCATACACACATAAATGAATCACATACATGTCATTCATACATATCTAATAATCACATACACAACATTAATAATAAAAAAAATTTGCTGAGCAGTGGTGACACATGCCTTTAATCCTAGCACTCAGGAGGCAGAGGCAGGAGGATCTCTGAGAGTTCTAGGCCAGCCTTGTCTACAGAGCGAGTTCCAGGAAAGCCAAAGATACATAGAGAAACCCTGTTTCAAAAAACAAAACAAGCTGGGCAGTGGTGGCTCATGCCTTTAATCCCAGCACTAGGAAGGCAGAGGCAGGTGGATCTCTGTGAGTTCGAGGCCAGCCTGGTCTACAAGAGCTAGTTCCAGGACAGCCTCCAAAGCCACAGAGAAACCGTGCCTGGAAAACCCAAAAATATAAAATAAAATAAAAATTTAGCCAGGCATGGTGGTGCACACCTTTAATCCCAGCACCCAGGAGGCAGAGGCAGGCAGAACTCTATGAGTTTCAGATCAGCCTGGTCTACAGAGTGAGCTCCAGGACAGCCAGAACTGCTACACAGTGAAACCCTGTCTTGAAACAAAAAAGATATTCTCCCTTGGGAGGCAGAGGCATGTGTTTTGAGTTTTTACCAGCTTGGTCTGTGTAGTGAGCTCCAAGCCAGTTAGACTGCCCAGGGAGACCCAGTTTCAAAACCAGTGTACATGCAACAAGAGCAGCTTTAGTGCAAGGTCACGGTTGCTATGGCTGCTTAGCTTCCTCATCATGGTGGCTCTTTCTGGAGGAAAAGGTTGTTAGGCAGGTGGGATGCTGCTAAGATTGGCCCTTAAACTCCTGATTCTCCTACTTCTACCTCCCAAGTGCTGGATTATAGGCGTGTCACCACTGCTGGAAGGTAGGTCTTCCCCAAGTCACACCCAGGTCATGATGTTATACCTGAGCAGCACAGGGCGTCAGCATTGGAAGATGTGGGGACAGGCACAGGGAACTTTCTGTGGAAATTGTTACAGCATGACTACAGTGGCCTCATGGTAGAAAGGCCTCTGTTTTACCACTGTCACCATTGGGTGTATGAGATAGAATCATATATGTGTGCCACCAAGTCCAGCCCAACCCCAGCTGGTTTTGTAATGGTACTTTATTACCTATATGCGTGTGTATGAGTGTATGTGTCCATGTGCCACACTGTGTGTGTGAAGTAAGAAGGCAACTTGTGGAGTCTGTTTTCTCCACCATGCCTTGACAGAAAGTGCCACTCTACCCACTGAGCCTTCTCACTGGCTCTGGTATATCTTATTGAAGACGCTAAGGGGCTGGTGAGTTGGATGGTCAAGTCAAGACACTTGTCACCAGATCTGATAACTGAGAACCCTCTTAGTGGAAGGAGAGTGAACCAACTTCCACAACTCGTCCTCTGGCCTCCATGTGTACACTGTGGCAAGGATATGCATGTGTGCATGCACACACACACACACACACACACACACACACACACACTAATAAGCCAAAGAATCTGAAGTGCCATTGGATCAACTGGAAGCAGAACCTTTAACCTTTCATTGACTCTCTGGGAGTGGGGCTAGAACTCAGGGCCTTTTGAAACTAGGCAAGCGCTCTATTACCATGCAGCCCCACAGCCTTCTGCCTGGATTTTATTTATATATGTTGGTTTTTTAGGCAGGGTTTTCTGTGCCACCTGGATTTTTATGCTATAAGCTCCTGAATGCTTGGTGCTGGCAGGGAAGGATCCATGAAAGGAGGGGTGTGTGTGCTTCCGGTCCTCCTTCTGCCTCAGCATAAAGCTCTGCCTAGAGCAGCTGCTGGAACCCACTGTGGTACCTAATGATGTGTGCAGCCATCTGATCCAGAGGGCAGGGCTTGCAGCAACTAGTGACTCCTTCAGAGTGCTTGGTTATCCAAGTCCGGGACTGAGTCTTCCTATTTCCACAGGAAACATGGCCAGAGCTGGGTGCCCTCCAGGCAGACAGCCAGCCACAAAAGGAGCCCCTGAAGTTCCCTTTCCATGATGCCAGGAGACCAGAAGACCAGACATGGGCAGACAGTACCTGCTCAAAGGAGAGAACCATCTCCCCAGATATTGAAAGCCTAGCGAACAGTGATTTTGAGATGCAGAGGACCAGGGTTCAAGACAGTGATGGCCAGGGAAGACATCTGTCAGATGGCGATGCTGAAGGGAGGCAGGCAGACAGCAGAGCCCCACAGGATGGAGGTGCCCAAGAAGTGGGAACAGGAGCCCAGCAGTCTAGGGAACCCCAGGAAGAAGGCACCCTTTACATTTCAGTATCAGCTCCTGCCTCAGACCCCACTGTGCCTGTCCCCACACACATACTCAGCAGCACAGGTGCAACACCAAGCTGCAGCAACCCAGCAGATGCCTCTCTTACAGACAGTATCATCACAGATGTGAGCTTAGATCCCTCTCTGCTGCAGCAGAGGGCTCCAGAGGTGGCCATGCTGCCAGGCTCTCCCGATGGGCAGACTCCTGGTGCAGGCTGCAGTGGGACTCTGCTGGGCTACATACCTCTTGCTGAGGAGACTACAGCAAGCAGAGAGGAGGCCAGGCTGGAAGACGGGTCCCCTGGTGACAACCTGGCAAGCCTCGCTGAGGCTGCAGTTCCTGGAAAACAAAAGTCCATGGTAGATGCTGGAGATCCAGGCCATATAGAACAGGAAATGAGTCCAGCTATTGAAACCAAGGACTCTGGCTCTGACGGACAGTTGCCAGAAGAGATAGGAACACTGCCTTTAGAGGCACAGCCCATGAACCAAAAGGTAGTGGAGTTAAGCAGCCTAAACTGCCATCAAGACTTTGAGAACCTCAGTTTGTCCCCTGATACCTCCCCTCAGCTAGAGTATAACCATGCAGCTAATGACCTTCCCCAGGGGACCAAGGCCTGTCATAGCAGCCCAGGAATTCCCATAGACCTGGCAGGGCAGCCTCAGTCAGCTCCCAGTACTAGAGATGAGGCTGCATGGCAGGAGTCCTCAACAGTGGAATTAGACTTCCTGCCTGACAGTCAGATACAAGATGCCCTGGATGCCCCCAACATGGAGGCCCTATCTGAGCAGGTAAGTGCCTTCCTGTGTTCAATGCATACACACACGTGCGCATGTGCACACACACACACCCTTGTTGGTGAAATTCGAAGGCAAGATGGGGCTTGAGTGTTTAACACATTTATGCAGCACAGGCATCTGAGTTTGGAGGACTCAAGGCAGCTTTGGGCATGGTGGAGCCTGGTTTTCCTGAAAGGTAGACTTGCTGGCTATCCTTGTGTGACTGCTATGGAGCCCTAGGAAAGGGAGAGACAAGGACTTTGTCCGTCTGGGGCCTGCCTGCTATAACTAGAGCCTTCAGCTGGGCCACCATGCCCAGCATCTGCCCCTGGCTGGCAAGGGGATGTGGAAGACACTATTAGTCACATACCTGAGGGACCCAATGCTGTTACAGCAGATGGGGAAGGGGACTCACTCCTGACCTGCAAAGAGCCCTTGCTCCCTTGAGACTTGCTGGGAATGTTGACATGGTTTTCAGGCAGACACATGGTAATTGTGCTTTGTATTATACTTCCTAAGGGTCTTGTCTACCCACAGCTGCCCAGATGCAGCCTTCCATGCCTCTGAGCCAAAGCCAGACATGCAAGGTCACCTGTTAGCCCCACCTCCTGGGAAAGAGCAGCCCTGCTTTCTGTTGCTATACTGCCACAACCTGAGACTGGGCAGCTCTGTCCTATACAGGGTGTGTTACAGAGGCTCAGGGAGGCCAGGCACCTGCTGGAAAGGAGGAGCCTATGGTGTCCCTGTGTCTGCTGGAGTCCAAAGCTGCTCCGCCTTGGAATGGAGCATGGTGGTCTCCCGAAGGTGATGCGAGTGCCCTCTCAAAGAGCCACAGCCTCCTGATGAGACACTTAGTCCATTCTGACACTTTGAGAGAGGCTTTTCATAAAGACACAACCCCTCAATGCAAGCAAAGAATTTACCTAGTGATGAATCCAAGAAACAGGCAGCCATGCTTCAAGGCCATCGGTTCCATCCTAGCACCAAAGGACTGGAGAAAGAGCCTGCCCTTCCATCCTTGTTGGGGAACTTGCTGAGCTGCTATACTTCTGAACACCTGGCCTGTGGTGTAAGCCAACATGGCTTATTTTAGCACTGTGAGAATCTGGGGTTTCATCCAACCTTTGTAAAGAAAATCTATCAGGACCAAAGGATCCTAGCATTCAGCTTGTGTCAGACAATAGGCAGCACCAGCTTGGGAGTGGTTATCTTTGACACTAGGCATCCCTGAACAAGTCAGGGTGACCCAGACAGTGAGCATGTTCCCATTAGAGGGCCATCAGTAGCCCAGCCCAGCTGGAGGGCAGAGGCTCTGTCTTCCAACATAGGGACACCTAGAAGTGGGTCTCCTGTTGACCTCACAGCCATCTCACCAGAGGGCATGCCTGTAGGTCACCCTGCAGTGACAGTCTGAGCCTTGCATAGTGCTCTCCCACCAGGAATTTGGTGTTTTCCAGTGTTGATCTGAAGCTGGCACAGCTGGCATGGCTGAATGGCATATGTGGGCCCTGGGCTCCATCCCTAACACTTGGAGTAAACAGATCCTTTTGTCCCTCCTACGGTTTGAGCCATCAGCATTTGGCTGAGGTTTGTAGGGCGTATAGTGCCATAGCCCCTTTAGTCAAGACAACAAACACTCCACAGGCATGCTGGGAGTGTGGCCCCTTTTAAGGGGAGATTCTCTTCCCCACAAGTGGGCAGTATGATGGGTAAATGTGAACACCAGATTTCATTTTAGATGGGTTTTGCAAAGATGCCCTGTCTGGGTTCAAATGACCCTCCTAGGTCTGTGCCACCAGTCCAGTACGGTCCCCTCGTGAATTCCCAGCCTAATTTGTAGACTCTTTCCTATACTGGATGCTCATGCCTGAGGCAGGTAACTCGACCTCCTTTCTGCTGCTGACACCTGGGTCCCGAGATGGTGTTTCTGCAGGCCAGAGTTACATGTGCCCCAGTCCCAGGGTCTTTTTCCTTTGTAAGGGGGTGGGATCTCAGTCTCACATGACCACACTCACATAGGGTAGCCTGAAACCCAGGAGGCTGACCCCAGGCCCCAAGTTTCTAGGACTACAACCGTGTACCACCATGCCTGGCCATGGTTTTTGTTTTCTCAAAACAGGTCTTACTATATATTTCTGGCTGTCCTGGAACTCTGTGTAAAACTAGACTGGCCTTAAACTCAGCCTCAAACTCACGAAGATCCACCTGCCTCTGTCTTCCAAATTCAAGGATTAAAGGTATGCACCACTACACCCAACTTTGCTCCAGGATCTTTTAAGATCCTTTGGGACACTTGTACAGTGACTGGAGTAAAACTCATCAGTGTATCATGACACCTGCAGCCTGCTGGAAGGACAAGACAGAGGAGGGCAGAGTTGTCTGGAGCCCTCATTGGCATGGTGCTTCCCTCTGCCAGGCTGGGCCAGTCACACAGTGTCCCCACTCCTTCTAGGGCTTCCCTACAGAGAACCTTCCAGGCCATGACTGGCCTGTCCCTAACCCATGTGCCACTGGAGGATCTCCAAGGGCGCTGGCCAAATCTCAGCCCAGGTAGGCTTCCCAGTCTTCAACCTAGAATGGGAAGTGGGCTGTCTTTCAAACTGCCACGTACCATATGTCCTGAGAACTTAGGTGGCCCATGCTCCACACCCAAAGAAGTGCTTGTCCTTGGGAGCTGGGTCCCCTGGGGCAGTCCCTCCAGTTCCTTAGACTGTCCCAGCCTCTTTGCACATGGGTGCACTAAGAGGGGGCCTGAGTCTTCCTGAGCTCTGGTGTCTAATCAGAGCTAATAACTGCAGAAAGTCTGAGGCTGCCCCGGCCCTGGCCCTGGGCAGACACCCCAGGCACTACCCACCCATTCTCCTCTCAGGCCTCCCTCCTGTTTGTTACCTTCACTTGAACCTGGCCGTGCTTCTACAGAGACTCATGAATGATTTACTGCCAAGTTCCCATTTCCATCAGGCACTCATGAAGGAGGGCTAGAATGCCACCCTGTCCTCCTCTGTCCCCTTTCCCTCCTCCAGTCCCCTGACCACTGTAGCATGTACCCCATCTGCCACTTGTCAACATAGTCCCTTCCCATATACCTCAGTCTCCCCCTTTAGTGTACCAGAAGCAGGTTAGCTGTTACCCACTGTTACTGAGAAAGATCAGGGCTGCCTCAGTGTGGGTCCTGGAGTCCAGGTGATGGCCTATGACTGAATGAAACTCAGTCAGAGCTGAGGGCCTGACAGCCACCCATAAGTTGCCTAAAACCTGTGTGGCAAAACTGGGGCTCTTGAGTACAGTGTTGAGAGACAGGGTCAGCCTGAACGACAGGGCTCCTCCTCTGCCCATGCATACAGGTGCACATCCCTGTAGCATGGTCCCTTCTAGATTATCTTGAGTGCCAGGGACCATGGGGAGCAAATCAGAGGCAAACTGAATGTTGAGAAGGGGGTCGTTCAAGGAGTTAAAATCTAACCATCAAGACAAACTGGGTTAAGAATATTCCAGAGTTCTCAGAGGCACTGGAAGAATGGCCAGGGTCCAGGAGAGGGCAGGTGATAGACACAGCAACAACCCAAGCATGGCAGTATGTGGTGGCAGGGGTTGGAAGTGGGATGTTCTTGGTGTGGGGGAGGGGTGGTTGGAAAGCCCTCAACCAATGAATGGCTGACCATCCTGAGGACTCAGGCCACTCCTTTCTCCCCCCTCCCCTCAGACCCACTATGGGGACCTGGACCCAGGAGGCCTGCAGGATGCAAGACGCCACAGACACAGTGCGCGGCCTCGTGGTGGAACTCTCCAGTCTCAAGTAAGGGCAGCTCAAGTCACCAGAGAGGATAGGGACAGTAGAAAGTGAAGCATGTCTACGAGTGTTGGGGGGGGCATCTGGTGGCCCCACCCCTGGCTGCCTCTGCTTTCATTTCTGTGGTCAGACCCGGACTCCCCTCTGACCGACGTCTGAGGCTGTGCCTGCCCCTGACATTTGTGCACCTGTGCGGAGCCACCTGGCCAGTGTGGTCGAGACAGGGCCTGTACAGTGGGGAGCCCCAGCTAGTGCTCCCTCTTTCTGCTTCTCCTACAGCCGGTTGATCATGAGCACCCACCGCGACCTGGAGGCCTTCAAGCGCAGGAAGGCCAAGCCTCTGCCGTACCTGACAAAAGGGTTGGGGAGCCTTGCTAGAGGGGATCAGGGCTGGAGGGAACTATAGCTGCTCCAGCCTGCGGCCCCAGTGCCCTCCCGGCCTATGGGGTCAGCTTTTCTGGGGCTGCATATCCCAGAGGCTGAGGGCGCCTGAGCTTCATCTGGGAGCCGCCCTCCAGCCTTCAGAGCCAGGCCAAGCTGAGCTGCAGGTGTCTTTCCCTTTGTTCCGGGAGGAAAGAGGTGCTCTGTGCCTGTCCCCCTCCACGCCCCCACCTGCTGTCCCTGTTCCTTTTGGGAAGTCAGGGAATAAATGATGCAGTCAAGAGCCTGTGATTTGCAGCTGTGGTGGTGATGTTCCCAGTCCCTATTTTCTGCCCACAGACCACTCTACCCTCAACTTTCCACAGCTGCCCCCCCCTTTTTCCAGTTATTTCTTTCTCCACCTGCAAGGCTGCCAGAACACAGGTCAGGGGCTCCCCACAGCTCAGTGTCCCAAGTTTCTAGGACGGTGGACGTGTACACGGGAAACATCCATACACACACCTGGAGGACACAAAGCGTCCCTGAAGCTGCTACAGCCAAGTTCCCAGGCAGGGTGAGGTTCCTGCCTACTGCCTAGGAATGAACACTGACCACCCACCCCACCCTACCCCTGTCTCTGGACATGACAGTGTTCAGCTGTGCCAGGAGCAGTCACCCATTTGCAGAAATACATGCCTAGGTTGGCTCAGGCCTCAACTCACAGCAGAGGCAGGGCCTATCCACTCACCCTCTCGATAAGGGAAACCCACTGTAGGAGGCTGGGAGACAGGCAAGGTTATGACTGGAGGGGACAGCTGTCCCTAACTACCTAACCCCTCTCATCTCTGGGCTCAGACTCTGGTTGGTGACTTGGGTTATGCAAGGACTTGCTGCCACCCCAGTGCCACTCACAGGCCCCAGGCAACTAAGGAGCCCTCCTTCAGTCACCTCATCCCTCCCTGCCTTAGCCCCAGAAGAATATAGGCCAGTACGATGAATCCGGGCCGTGTTGTCCTCAGCACCCCCACAGGACATGAGGGGCTGGAGACAAAGGTGTGATGATCCAGAATGTAGCCCCCATCTAGTCAAGCTTGTCACTGTATCTGTGCCAGCCTGTTCCCCAAATCCTGTGCACCTTTGGTGCAATAGGAGGCCCCGTTTGGCATGTCAGTATGCACTGGGTGGCTGCAAGTTTAAAAGCCTCACAGATGCCCTCATGCTCCTGAGTCAGCTCCCCAAGGTGATCCCAAGATTCAAAGACCAGTTTGCCAGGTGGGAGGAGACAGGGAGTGAGGATGTGGTCTGTAGAGTAGAGGTGTCCCTGCCAGCCAGATTCACACCACCTTGTCCCAAGACTAGGCTCCACTCCTCACCATTTATTGGGTGCTGATGCAACAACACAAGCAGGACTAGGGTGGGGGAAGGGCTGGCGATCTCCAACAACTGTGGCCAGCCTCAGAGTCTTAAGCAAGATCCAGTCTCCAGCATGCCTTGTCCAGACCCTTGGCAAGGGTACCCCATGGTCCTCCCCACTCCAAGCTCCTAGGCTGTAGTGGAGGGACTGTAGGCCGAGGGTGAAGGTCCAGAGGACTTCCTGCCACTTTTGGAACCTGAAGGTTGAAAGCAAAGGAGAGAAATGCTGAAATGAGTGGCTCAGATTGCTGAGCGGGGTACTTACTCATGGGAGTTCCTAGGCCTCCCGGGCTGCTGCGCCACCTGGTGGTCACACATAGGATTGTCATCCTGGGACCCAGAGCAAAGCACAGAAATGCTATTCAAGTGAAGGTGGTGTGTCTCTCTCTGCCAGGCTGCAAGGGACTTTGCATTCCTTAACACCCAGAATGCAACCCTCAGCTTGCTGGGACAGTATGCTGGTGAGGGCACCCTCCAATACCAGGGAGGTGTTCCTGTCCCTTCAGAATTCAGAGACCATCATCTCTATAACTCCTCATTGTTAGCTTCTCAGAGCTGAGTCCCTCTAAGACCCCACTGGAAGGGATAGGGCTGTGGTACAGCACACAGAGAGAAGTCCTGGGATCCATCCCCACAAGAGATCAACAACATCAAACTCTTAATAGGCAGGCATGGCAGTTCACATCTGTTTCAGCAATAGGGAGACTGAGGCACATTCCTTCAAATCTACTGAGCTACACAGAGAGACTGTCACAACAACAACTTAAAAAATTCACAGAATGGGATCCTTGCTTGCAGATAATTGGTCTCTAACCAGAGGTTCACTGCAAAGTTAAGGGAGATACACCCCAGTCCATTGCCGCTCCCAGACTACTCAGGGAAACAAGCACAGAACCGTGGTGAAGCAGCCTCTGAGTCACCTTTGGACCCCCACCCACAAACTTTCAGTTTCGCTCCTGAGACCTCACAGGTACTGGGGCCTGCAGAGCTATTTGTGGTGCAAGCACCTGCCATCCTGGCATTTTGGAGGACAACCTGAGCTACAAAATAGACAGCTGTATCAAAAAGAAAAAATCTCAGAGCTCAGAAAAAACAAAACAAGTAAGAGCTAGCTTACCAAAATCAGCACCTTTGCAGAGGACCTACATCTGGCTCCCAGCACCCATACGGCTACCCACAACCAGCTGTTGACTGAAGTTCCAGGGTTTCTATGCCTTTTCTGGACTGCTCACAGGTGGTACAAGCAGGCAAAAAAAATACATAAACATGAAATAAAAGTGTCTGCATCTCCTGAGGGCTCATTGGGTAAAAGGGAGCTTGTGGCCAAGCCTGACAATCTGAGTTCTGTACCTCAAACCCACATGGTGGACTGGCTCTTGCAAGTTTTATGTGTAAAAAAGATTTAAGAAACAAACTGCTGGGCATTGTGGCACACACCTTTAATTCCAGCACTCAGGAGTTCAAGACCAGCCTGGTCTACAGAGCTAGTTCCAGTACAGCCAGGGCTACACAGAGAAACCCTGTCTCAAAAAACCAAAATAAGTAAGATAGATGGTAAACAAAGAAAAACAAACGGGAGGTAGATGCTGGCTTCTGAAGTCCTGGTCCTAGGGTCCATTAGCATGGAAACCAATAAAACTTCATAGGGCCAGGAGACCTGACTCCTTAGTTAAGAGCACTGGCTGCTCTTCCAGAGAACTGGGTTTCAACTCCTAGCACTACATGGTGGCTCCTAATCATCTTTCCAGTTCCAGGGGCTCCCATACCCTCTTCCGAAGTGCATGGGTACACACATACATGCAAGCAAACCACCCACACACCTACAAGCTTTAAAAACCTTATAGTTTCAGGTGCTTACGTCTGGCCCTGGAGGGTAGTGCTCTGCATTTGTGGGGAAGATGGGGAGGCTCCACACTGTAACACCAAGCAAGCACGTTCCTGAGGGCCCCCTACTCCTGCCTTGCTGCCTTGGAGTGGGCCCTTAAAGTCCATGACAACCATGGGACCCATTGGCCCTGGTCTGCCGCTCCAGTAGAATTCTGAGAAGTGTCCTTGCCTGTGTTGTGGTGTGGAGGTCAGGGGACAATTGGAAGGAAATCAGCTCTCTCCTACCGTGTGGATCCCAGGGATCTTCAGAGTTATATTAAAGCAGTCTTTACCCATTGAGTCATGTTGGCATCGCACCCCAAACATTTTATAGTTCTGACTCGGGACCAAAATCTGGGTCTCTTAAGCACTATGCATGAGCACTAACTGCAGATTCCTAAAGTGACACTCAAAGATCCAATGATTTCTAGCCACCCACAGTGCACACCCACACCCAGGCAGTCACACTGAACCTTATGATAGTTTCCAAGAAGGCCCTCCCACAGTGGAAATAAAGGAATTAAGACTCCAGAAGATACCTTCTCCAGGAAGTCCTCCTGGGATCCCCTCATCTGAGTCAAGTGCTCCCCCATTCAGCACTGTCCTAACTGCACCGGGTGCAGAACACACAAATGATTTCAGGGTTCAGAAAGGGTTTCCAGACTTCACAACTCCTGATGCCCAAGTAGAAATCAGAGCTCACACTACACCCTAACGTCTCTACCACCCCATGCCTGGGTGGCTCAGAGAGGGAGAATAGCTTGTGAAAGATCACACAGCAATGTAAAAACCACACTCCTCAGCCATTGCACTACACAAGGCTTTCAGGATGCTCTCAGCTCTACACACTGGGTTGCTTAGTTTCCAATACTGGCATCACACACACTTAAACACACCGAAGAGCTGAGAGCCTAGAATGGGTCCCTTCTCCACCCAGTCCCTAAACCACCTGCATAGACACCTGCTGCTGCTTCTCCTCCAGAGTGGTGGCCAGCATCCTGTGACTTTGCCTTGTCAGGCCGGGTCAGCTTTTTGCCTGCAGAGTTCCGGGTAGTGTAGCAGTAGACAGAAGTGTAGCCCTGGCCGGTGAGTGGGCAGAAGCGTCGAGTGTGGGCGTGCTCCTGAGTGGCCCCACACTGGGGACACACATAATCCCTCAGGATGGGACACAGCACTCGGCCCGCCTCATCCTTCAGGACGTGGGACTGATAGATGGCACGGGACTCCCCATTGTGCTTGCAGAATGAGCACAAACGTTCAGGAACTGTTGAGGGTTCCTTGCTGGCTCTCTGGCTTTCCAGGCTCGGCTTGGGCTCTGGCTTGGGGTCCAGCCTGACATCAGGCACCTCTTCCTCATGCAGAGCCCCAACCAGGCTTGCCAGGCCCAGGTAGTCTGTCCACAGATTGAAAGTCCCCATGGCTAGGAGCAGACGGCTTCCCTCCGTGCCTGAAGCCCAAGCGGCTCTGGCTGCTTTTCTACCTTGAGGGGGTGTGAGAGGGTGGAGCAGGCAGGCTCCAGGGGGTCCCTCAGTGTCACTGGGGGCTTCTTACATACCTGCCCAGGGGGTATATGGTGTTTGTGTGGGCTGGAGATAGACCAGGAGCCACTGAACCCCCAGGCTTCCCCAGGGTCTCCTCCCCCTCCCTGTGGGAGGTCAACCCTTGCTGGCCAGCTAGGTGAAGAGGCAGGGAGATGGCTAAGAACTCTGCCCGGGGCCAAACCCTTAAACAGAAGGATGATTTACTAATTTTTTCCCCTCTTCCTTCCCTAGAGCTGGGGAAGGGGCCAAGTGGCCTTGAGCCCTAGTTAGGTCAAGTAGCAATCCCAGTACTTAGAAAGGGGTCCTGTCCATGGGGGAGGGGACGATGATGAAAAGGACTGGGTCCCAAAGCTCTGGATTTGCTAAGGGATTTCCATGCCCACTCTAGTGGCTGAGAACTTAGTCAAGAAAAGAAATAAAAGGAGGACATGACTGCTCCTAAAGGACCGAGGGACAATACAGGCAAAGGCAGAAACACCTGGGAGTCCAGAGTGCACATGACGGCAAACTGAGCCAGCTCATGTGAGGAGAGGGAGAGGGGAACCTGGAATGGCAGCCAAGAGGCAAAAAAAAAAAAATTGTTTTAAAGATGGGGGGGGATAAAAAAAAAGCATATAGCAAAATATGGCTGGGCTGTATAGAAACCAGAAAAGCCAAGGGAAGGGCTGTTCCTTGGCTAGGAAAGTTCAGGGTAGGTGACAGGTATGCCAGCCAGGGGGACCTCAAAGCAGGTAGGGACTGAGGGATGCTGGAAGGACCTGGCAGCCAGTGTCAGCTTTGATATGTTAATAGGCACCTCGATTGTTTGTCCTCGGGTACAAAGTGGAGTTTCCAACTCTTTCTCCTTGGTTCATTCAGTTAGGAGCCTCCTTGAGGGGTGAGTGGAGGGGTCCTCCAGGCATGCCGTGGACAGGCTGCATCCCAGCAAGTGCCAACTCTCTGACCCCCAACACCCCAAAAAAGGCACTTGGTCGGGAGTCCCCACTGACTGGGACAGACTTTTCCACCCCTCCTGCCCACCTGCTAACCCATCTGTCCATTGCATGCCCGTCTACCAATTCACCCATTCCAGAAACGCAAACATCCATGCTTTCAGCCCCCACACTATGATTCCCCCAACATCTACCCCTCAAGGGTTTATTTCCCAATTTCAGTCTGCCCATTAAAGTCCCAGATACCAGTTCATCTCCTCAAGGGGAGCAAATGACAGGCTGAAGAACCTGGGGCTGTCTAAGAGGTCCTGCCCTCCTCACCCCTGAGACTGCTGTATGGTCCAGCCACAGTGACATTCATCCCCCGGTGGGTCTGGAACCCTCCTCACAACCCACCGACAACAATGAATGTTGATTGTGACCTACACTGTGGCCTGAGAGAGGGGGATGCCAGGTTGCCTGGGGGAATCTCCCAGATCTAGAAGGTGGGGATGTGATGGGGTAGATTGACGGCAGTTCCAGGCCTCGGGGTCCACTCAACAGTCGATGGTTTGTCTGAGCTGCTCAAACTCACCGACAGGTTGAATGTTCCCCCAAACCCTTGGCAAGTTTCTTGGAGAACTGGAGTAGGGAGTAGCCCAGAGAGGGAGGGGACGTGTAGGGTGATGAAGCCAGGGTCCTTTTGACTCCCATGAAGCCAGCCATCAGTTATTCAGTATCATCTGTCTTTTTGGAGACCCAGGAGCAGCAGCACAAGTATAAATCATAATGTAAAAGTGCGTGGCCTCTGCAACGGAGGCAACGGTGTACCTGTCTCATCTCACCATCCTTTATTCAAGGGACGCACCCAAAGCAGTGTCTGCCTGACACCGCAACACTCCGAGGCTCAGGACTCATAGCTCCAGACCAGCCTGTGCTAAATAGTAAGGTCCTAGAGAGGGCTACGCAGTGAGATAAAAATAAAATCTTCCAAAGCATCCCTGAGGTGCAGACCCCCACACACCACTAGTAAGGAGAGAGAGGCCGAAAGACCACAAAGGAGGGCGATTTTTAGCCACCTAGAAGTCTGGTAGCCTAGGTTCTGGTCTGGGAGGGTCACAGAGGCAACAGAGACGTAAACAAATTCCTTTAACACAATGTAACGGGCTCCTCTGGCAAGCTTGATTGTGAGATAAATAAAGGCTTCAATACAATGTAGACCTTTCTGCTTTCCCATGGTCTAAGCCTAAGTTTCCTCCTGAGCCCACCTCCGCCCTTCCCAGCCAAGCAGTGAGCTGGGAAAGGAACTGCCCCTCCCCCATGCCCACTCTGGGTCTAAAGGTTTCTAAATGGTCTGAGGAGGACAAGATTCCCTAGGCCTTCCGGTGGAGCATCTACCCACTTGGGCAAAGGTCCCGCACCCTTGGCACTGCCAACTTTGCTTTGCCTGAGCTCCTGACACTCCATAGAGGGGAGTGATCACCCTCAGGGATCTCCCGAGGCCACACAAGACAGATCCGGAGCACCACGTGTAACCAAGCTTGCGTGAAACCCAGTAACTCCAGCGCAGGGGTGGGGGTGGCACCAGCCTATGCAGCCCCAGGCCACAACCCCAGACTCAATTCAGTCCTCAGCCAAGGTCCCTGGGACCCTCCTGCAAGCCGGTCCTGCTAGATCTGCCTCCAAACTCAACTACCTGAGAGCTTAGGTCTCACCCTGTCTAGCACCTCAGTGGGCTTCCAGAGCATGCCCAGAATTCCCCTAGAAGCTAAGCTCCTGCCAAGATCCCTTAGACCCAAACCAGGTCCCCGAAGCCAGCGCGACTCAGGAAGCACTCCCACCCGGCTGGACCCTCACCCTGCTTCCTCAGCCCAGTCCCCAGGACTGGTCACATCCTCGCCCCGAGCCCGTGTACCTGGCCAGCAGCCCACATTTGAGGCCAGGGACTGCGGGCAGCCCTTCGTGGGAAAGGAGGGTCTCCTGCCTTGGACGCTCGCTCGTCCTGGATGCGTCCAGAGGAGGGTGAGCTGCAATCAAGGGCTTTGTATAGATTTCCCCTGTACCCCTGGGGAAGGGGACGCGGCGAGTTCAAAACAGTTTTTAAGGGGTTCCTGAAAGCTAAAATGGGCATTTACAAGGCACACAAGACACTCCGGGCAATACGGGTCATCTCGTAGACACCGTATTTTATTCTCTAAGTCCACTCTGCTGCTTACTTGTCCTTCGAAACTCTTGACTTTAACCTTATGCAATGGGAGGTGTCTGCTTCGGGTATTCCCAGCAGGACAGCGTGCCTGTGGGAGTCGGTCTGAGGGGGCGGGGCGGAGGCGCCAGGCCCCGCCCCCTCCTGTCTCTTTGTCTGCAGGCGTGGTGCAGGCTTCCCGCCCTCCGTGTCTGCGCTCGCCTGCCCTTTGTCAGAGGGGGTCTCCCGTCTGTGTCTGACTGCACCCTTCCTGAAACTGTGTCTGTCCCTTCTCTTCCCGGGGAGGGTCTGTGAGGTTGTTGGCAGCCATGTCCCCTGGTGTGTGGGGCTCACAGCCCTAACCTGGGCTGGGAGCTGATCGCATATTTCCCGCCACGTGTCTGCCGGCCTAGGGTGCTTGGGCGGGAGGTTTGACTTTGAAGTCCCTTATGGCGGGTGTGGGAAACAGTCTCCTCCCATCCCCCACCCCAGGTCCTGGTACAGGAGTGACCTGGGTGCGCCATGCCCCATGCTCACTCTGAGCAGCAAAAACAGCTGGGCAGCTGTCTTAGAGGTCAGGTTGAGGTGAGATTCCTGGCCCAGCCAGATGAGGTTAACTCTACAATGGGGGGAAGAAGTAGGGGATGGGTGAGCTGTCTGCTGTGGTCTGCAGTGTTCAGTGTGCCATGCCTATGTGTGAGTCAGCGGGGCAGGAGGAGCAGGTCGACCCTGGACAACAGAGAGCTCATTATTGGGGGTATAGTGACAAGACGTGGCGGTCTCCCTGGGGTCACGCTGATGGCCCAGGCTGGCTAGACCTTTTAGCCACACTTACATGGCTTCTCAGGTGCCCATCCTTCCCTCCCAAGCTTCTCCAGGGCTTCCCAAATACTCTGGTCTTTCATGGAGGGCCTCAGACAGGAGCTCCTGTGTCCTATGGGCAGTGGGTAGGTCAAAAACCCCAAAGTCCAGCTGGCTGGCTAGGAGGAGGCCAGGGCTTCGGGTGGGAGGGGGTTGGCTTCTCCTCTGTTGGGGGCTATGAAGGGCTGATGGGAACTCCAGATGCTCTTCTGAACTTACAAAGTTCAAGATGCAGGGTGGCCTGGGTATGCATCCAGGTGGACTGTCCTCACAAACTCACTGGTGTTAGTAGGTTAGTGGGTGTTGTCTGATCTAAGTTTACTCTGGGCTACAGGAGCTCAATGGTGTGTGTGTGTGTGTGTGTGTGCCATGGTGGGTACTGCTACTAGTGTGTGGGTGTGTCAATGTCTGTTCATCTCTTCCGTGGGCTTGTTTATGTGTAAATGTCAGCATTATTGTAGGTGGGTGTGTCAAGCTCCAGTCTAATTGCAGGTCGATGTGTGAGCAGGTGTATGTGGGTGTCTGGGGTTTGTTAGAGTAACTGGGTGGCTGTAGTCTGTCAGCTGATGGCATCCCTCAGGCCCAGCCCCACTAAAATAACAGCTGTGTTAAGGCAGGGAATTCATTCTGAGTCACAGGTATGTCCCCAGAGCCTGGCACACAATGGCTGCTCAGTGTCACTGGACATGGTGGCTGTGAGACCGGTCACCTCTGTACTTACTAACAGAAACCAGAGGTCAGCTACTGAGAACCTTTTTTTTTTTTTTCCGAGACAGGGCTCCAATTCAGACCCTGTCTCAGTAACAGCAGCAAAACAATTTTTTTTCAGTTTTTTGAGACAGGGTTTCTCTGTGTTTAACAGCCCAGGTTACCCTGGAACTAGTTGTTGTAGATCAGGCTGGTCTTGAACTCACAGAGATCCGCCTGCCTCTGCCTCCCCAGTGCTAGGATTAAAGGTGTGCGCCACCACTGTCCCAATTTAACAACAAAATATTGAGCTGTTGAATATCTGTGTGGCTCTGCCTCTGGGTGTCCTTCCCCCGTGGGTCTGTGTATCTGTGTATGCGTATAACCATCTATGTCTTCCGTGTCTGTGTAGGTGGCTGTGGATTAAGTTC